GACAGACAGACATACATACATACAGATACACACATGCATATGTGCATCATCCGCATAGCTGCTTTTGGCACATACTGCTGCGTCCTCGCCACTTTGAATCACCCATACAAAGTAGTCAGCCGGTTCACTAGCGCCGGCATCCCAAACTGCACGCCTGCTTCCGTCTCGCTGTTGACGGTTCTGGCATCGCTTTGGCAAACACAGGGTGGCCACGGAGGCCTAACACCTAATCAACTTCTCTGTGTGAGGAAATTGCCAAGGGCGAGCTTCAGGGCATGCCTACTCTGTCTGCTGCGCAGTCTCGCAGTTGAAATTGCACAGAAAGCCGAATAGATGTCCTAAGCTTCACTTCTCGAGTTGAGCGCGAGTTGCTGACTACACCTCAACCCACCTGCAGCCACCATGTGCTTGCTCTTGAGGTAGAAGGCAGCAAACAGAAAAGCTGGGCGGCTTTTTTGCAAGCAGGCCCACATTGCACACAAGAAGCGCGACATTCTGCTGGGAGGCATCACCCTGGAACAAAGTTTCGACCCTAGACCATCAACCAATTTCGTGATGTCGCCTCACTATGCCATGCTGCGTGAACCTGAGCCCGAGTCATCAAGTCTATCTCAGATGCAATCAAACGAGGGACCAGGGACCCTTGTTTTGAACTTTTGGCCACGGAGTGAAGTCCGATGCTTTGCTGCGACCATGGCATATGCCTTTCCAATGCTCCTCCTGAACATTTGGCCGCGACCGCAAATGTCTGAGTGTACCGTATAAAATGAATGACTTCAGAACCTTGCACTCAGCGCTGAAATCCACGAGCACACCAGTTCGACCGTCGGATACTCCACAGAGCACTGCAGATTGCTAGGGGCCTCTGGCCCTTCCTTTTAAAGGATCCGGTCGGATCCCTCAGGCATACTACAGCGGCAATGACCAAAGGCCGACGTGATGGAAAGCTGACGGACATGGATAGCTCACAACATGCGCTGGTGGCCATAGCCGCATGCAAACCGACATGTCGAAGTGCTGGCCGTGCTTTGGAAAATAACTGTGCTCTAAAACGGGGCGGGCTTGTGACACAAGCCGCCAAGGGAATCACAAAAACCGCAATGCAACTAAGCACAACCTTTTCTTTTGTGTGGCGACAGGTTACATACGTCAGAATTCATAGAACGACGGATGCTGAATTGATGGTAAGCGGATCTCGAGCACAAAGAGCTTGATGCGGAGAAGACGGGTCTACAGCTTTAACACGACACACACACACAATTGAAACGAGCAGGGAGTCGGTGCCTTGCACGTTTGTGTGGTATAGTCTTTCGGCACCCTCTCAACGATGAAATGGTGGGAAATGCGTCGCCACTAGTGAGGATGTGCAGAGCTGTTGAAAATAATCACGGGATCCTTGGGAAGCCGCGAAGAGCTACATGGTAGGTTTGCAACAGAGTTCAGGGTTCAGGGTTGAATCACCTGCACAGATATCTGCCTTCAGACTTGCGCACAGGCTACTCCACGGGATAGGGAGCTGATGAAGTCCGACATGGTTGACATCTCCCCTCGCAGCCGTGTCAATTCCTCTTCCTGGGAGCAAATGGGACGCAACGACACCCCTCTTAAATGTAAAAATGGCCGACCTTTTAGCCTTTCTTAGCTCTCCGGCGGAGGACGCTCAGTTCACGAGTCGCTTTGTGACGACATTGGGTTCAACAAACATTCGAGGAGGATCTATGCATATCCTCATCGCTGCAGCTCTTCCGAAAATCGAATCTGGCCGAGCATCCATAAACTTCTGGAACTTCCCTTGGTTCTTGATGAGCCATGCCTGATCTTGGCTAATCTTGCCTCAGCTGCCATGCAAAATCCTAGCTGGCGCGCGTTTTGCGAACTGCTTTCCTCCACGTACTGGCAGGTACGGATCTTACTTCTATTCTTCTGTTTGTAGATTCCTCCTTAACTCGCAGCAGTACAAATACTCCTACGGCTCCTATTTGCCTCCACTCCTGTCAAGCATTCTGCAGCAACAGGCCGCCAGCAACCAAGAGGCCCAGGTCCAAGGCCGATGCTGTTCCGCTGAATCTCAAACAGCCCATGAAGAACTCCTGCCCGGCAAATATCGCAGTGGCTCATGGAAGCCGGAAAGCCATTAGTAGTCCAATCTGCAGTATTGCTGCACATAAAAGCTCTTCGAACCAGAATCCCATCATTTTAAGATGTGTCGGCTTCTATGAGTGGTTTAGTACGGGCAAGAAAATAGCCCAGACAACGTGCATCCGAATGATCGGTCCCGGACCGGCATTATCTGTGCTTTTGTTCTGCATCCGACAACGTTAAAACTCTACTTTTTGTGTACGTAAACTGTGTGAGCCGCCCCACGCTTTGCGAGACCTCGAAGTCCACAACGCCACCGAGATTTGCGTCCAGGAGCTTGAAGAAAGACCAGGTATCCCAAATGTCTAAGCCCAATGTCTCCTTGGGGTGGTCGGCGGGGTGCTGCGAGTACGTGCTAAAATTTCTGCTAAAGTGAAGGAAAGACGAAGACCTTTTGCTGGGACATGTGTCCCAGTAGCAACTGATCCTTAAATCCTGCGCAAGATGTGCGTGAAGCACAACTGAATCGAATTCGGGACAAGAAATCCAACAGGAAGCTCGGGCTCGAAACTAAACCCCAGCCAGGGGTCGAAATACTCCCGGACAGATGGGGAATTGATCTTTTCCTCGAACATGCGCAAGGTGATGCCGCCCGTTCTGTCGGCACCCAGCTTGCCTAAGTGTCCATAACTTCTTCCACGGTGTCGGGTCACACTCTGGTTTATGTCGAATGACATGACAACGTCTCACACTCTTGCAAGCAAGTGGCTAAAAAGGGTACGGAGTTTGTCCAGGTGCGATTCCTTGTTGTCGATCATGTTCTGCACAACTGTCGCATGATCTTTCTGGGCGCTCTCTATTGCAGATTGGCAGAACACCGCAGTTACCTCAGCTTCATGATGATGATGATGAACTTTCGTGTGCACTGACGCCAAGCCGGCAGCGCTTCGTGAAAACAAGAAAAAAGTTGATGAAGTGCAGAACACTGCTGCAAGCGTGAAGACAAAGGTCTTGCAAGCTCACTGTCTTGTTTAAGCATGTGGGGTTGAATGGGAAGTACATCAAACCCCAAATGAGCCTAGACTGAAGCAACCTAGCTATCACGCCTAACAGACGAACAAGTTGATGAAGGCAGCCACTCCATAACTGCAGACATACCAGTATGTCCCTCAACCCTAGAGCCGATCTGCCGGAGGCCCTAGAGATCCGGGTGCTTCGCATGTGCGCCTGAGCCTAGCAATAAAGGAAACAGACACATCTTGCTGAATCAGTCCAAGTTACTACATTAAGAACTGCAAAATATGTGAAGCCTCGGTGGCCAGAAGAAGCACATCACAAAGTGTATATGTATGTATGTATGTATGTATGTATGTATGTATATATATATATATACAAAAACAAAATACGATTCTTGACTACTACAAACACTAGACGCGAGGATTCTGGAGGCGAGTAGCATATGTATATATATATATGTATGTATATATATATATACATCTGCACATTGTATGTATGTATGTATGTATGTATGTATGTATGTGTATATATGTATATATATATATATGTGTAAAGAACGAAGCAAATATGTATATACCTTGGCTGAATCCAAGAGCTCGCTTCTGGAACACAGTTTAGCAGCCATCCGGATATTCCGTTTATGAATTTTGCCGGAAATTCCTGAAATTCCGATAATTCAACTTATCATTGTTGTGAATTATTGTCATGATTTGCCTGAAATTCCGGAAAATCGGATTTCGTGTATTTCATGATTTCCCGGAAATTCCGGAAATTCGGGTTCTATGATTTTCGTGAATTTCATGATTTCCCTGAAATTCCGGAAATTCGGGTTCTATGATTTTCGTGAATTTCATGATTTGTCGGAAATTCCGGAAATTCGTATTTCATGAATTTCATGATTTCCCGGAAATTCCGGAAATTCGGGTTCTATGATTTTCGTGAATTTCATGATTTGTCGGAAATTCCGGAAATTCGTATTTCATGAATTTCATGATTTCCCGGAAATTCCGGAAATTCGGGTTTCATGAATTTCATGATTTTGCGGAAATTCCGGAAATCCGGATTTCTGAATTTCTGATGTTTTATTCAATGATGATATATGGAATATCTGAATATCTGCCTCCTGAATTTCTGGGGAGGCAATTGTAAGTTTTCCACAATCCCTGTTTAGCGAGCTCTTGGATTCAGCTAATATATACCTATATAAAATTATAAGCCTTGTTGGCCATACCGAAGCCACTTGGGCCACTTAGTCACACACACACAATAGGTGGCATCGCAATCATTCGAACTACAGCAAGAGACAGTGTCTGCAAATGCAGCCCAGGGACAAATGTAAAAGATGTAGCACAAGGTCCACACTGGCGAGATTATCCGTAAAGGTGCTATCACTTCCTCCCAACTGACACCGCCGGCAATGCTCATGAAGAGGCTGAGCATGCTTACTTGCAAGTCTCCAAAATACTTCATGCCGGACTGCACCACATCGATGTCGCTGCAAGCAAAGCCGTCGTCAGGGGCATCGGGCATGGAAGTCACATAGTCATTCACCCCCTGTGCAAACCTGAGAGACATGAGAAAGCAGAAGAGATCTGAACTTTACTCACTGCTAGCAAACGAGAACAAGAGAACTTAAGAAGTTCTGGGTTAGCGAGAAGCAAGACTGCGAAGACGTACACGATGAGAACGAGCAGAAGCAATGCCCAAAACAAGGCCTTGAGTGTATGCATAATGGACTGGACCAATGTGCGGAGGGCCATCACGAATCGGAAAATCCGGAGAAATTGCACCATCTTGAGCAGTCGTGTGAGTCGTATGACTCGGAAAGCTTTAATGCTCGAGATGCCGCTGATGGTGCTCAGGCCCGTGCCCTGTGGCAGAGCAGCTTCCAAGATGTCCACAAGGACTTCCCACAAGGAGGTTCCCACGATTACAAGGTCCAACAGTGCCCATGTCCAGTCTTCCGAGACGAAATAGCGGCATCGACTCACGACAATACGAGTGGCCAGCTCAACTGTAAAGAGGATGGTGAAGAGGTACCTCTCACTTCTGTAGGAAAGAATGCACGTAGGACGTATTCATTCGTTCACTATAGGCTAACCCGACATAGCTATCGCAAACCTCGAAAGCTTTCAACAGCAGCAGCAAGGCACTGGAGAATCTGATATTCCAAAGGTCTGGAGCCGGAATCTGTCAGGCCACGCTGCACGTCGAAGCCGATGTACACCTCACCACGTGCTCGTTGGCAGGACGTGCAAATCGAATGTCAATTCTTGCTGGAATTAAATAAGCTACTACGCTATTTCTACTGCTACGAGTGCTCCGGCTCTCCCTCTTCGACAACGACGGCTCCGACTTCAAGCACTATTGCACCGTCACCGCTCCTGCTAGTGCCACCATCTTATAACTGAAGCGACACATGCAAACAAAAAGCGCTGCTGCGATGAAGACGACGACCGCTATTAATTACTACGCAATACTACATGCTAAGTGCTACTACCTCCTATAATTACTACTGCTATGCACTACTGCTGCTGCTGTTACTACGACTACTACGACGACGACGACTACTACTGCGACTACTACAAGTAGCAGCAGTTGCTGTAGGATTTTCAGCAGCAGAAGGATCGCAGTAGCAGCAGAAGTAGCCACAACAGCAATTGCAGAAGCACTAGTTACACTAGTTGGCGATGTTGTTCCTGCTGTTGTTGCGGTTGTGCTATTTGTCGCAGTAGCCGTCGTCGTTGTAGATCTGGCTGTTGTTGCTGCCCGGCCCGAGGAGCCGTAGTAGCCGTGGTGACGGTGGTGATGGTGGTGGGTGCAGAATGGGCTGTGGTCACCATGCGATCCCAAGAGTGGAGAGCACAGGGCATCTGGGCATCTAAAAGAATCAAAGCGGCGGCATTGGCAATCACCACTAACCTTGGATTTGCAACAGGGCCTCTTTGCTTAGGCATGAAATTAAAAAGCTACAGCCAAGCGCCGAACAAGCTGAATTACGCGCATGCCCGCCAAGCAGCGCAAAGAACACGTCGAAACCCGGCGAGTTCACCAGCTTGGTCGTGAAATTCCCAGTGACACGCCCCAAGCTCCTCCTCCGAAAAGGAACAAACCAATTATAGGACAGATGCATTCTGGTATCTCGTTTAGGCAAGTGATCTGCGTATTACATAGAAACAAAAACCTGATTTGCTTGGACTCTATATAGCCTAAAGCAGTCAGTCATGTAGGCAACTTGCCCAATGATGATGCAATCGGACTCCCAGAATTTGCCCCGAAACCGTGGGAAGATTCTTTCGCAATGGGAAACAGCTCCGGCCCAAATCATGCGAGAATCCTCGGTGCATTGGTCTGGGGCTCCCTTTCCCGGCGTTGCGAGAAACGCCGCCGCTGCGTACTTGCTTCTGCAAGTTCCTGGAAGGTACAACAGGCGCAGGGTCCATGCGGTCCAGATAAACCGGGGGAGCACGCTTTAAAACTTTACGATGATTATGTATAAAATGAAAACATATGAAAATGATATCAAACTCGAAAAAAAGGAACCTCAGCTACAAACACAAAACATGTACTGCTGTCGTCATTGTTGGTACTCGTACTGCTACTCCTCCTGCTGCTGCTACTTCTTCTTATTCTTCGGCTACTGCTGTTGCTACTGATACTACTACTACTACTACTACTACTACTACTTCTCCTGCTGCTGCTGCTGCTACTACTACTACTACTACTACTACTACTACATACCAGCACTGATATGACCAACAAACAAGAGACAGTGACCAATTTCAATAGAGGCCACCGCGCCTGCTA